GGGGGGGGGGCGGGGAGCCGAGATTGCATGGGAAATAACTGGAATTTGAAAAGCCAGGCTTAAACTCTGCCAGCTTTTGAAACACGTGGAATATTTAGAGCAGCATGTCTGCCTTCCCCCTGCACTCTGCTGGCTTGCCATGTAGGGGAGGGCTTACAAAGCAGAGCCTGTGCGTGACAGCGATGAAATAAATGCCATTAAAAAAAAAAAAAAAGAAAGAAAAGGCGAGGGGAGAGAGTATCACAATCATAAGCCCAGTGCAGAAAAAGGACGGTCACCCACATCAGCATTGCTGTAACCCCCTCCCTGATCATTTTCCCACCGAGGGATGGGGACTCCAGGCTAGAAGGCATCTGCGCTGCCCAGGAGAAAGAAACGCGGTGCCTTACCTGGACCTCCTCCATCCCTGGGTGGCCGATGCCATGCAGAGAAAGGCTGTCCCCCATGCCGGAGTCAAGGCCATGGTGAGCTGAGTGCAGAAGGACATCTGGCCTCCTTACTGAGTGGTAGTCCCGCCTGGGGTCCAGTCCCGAGAGCTGGGGCAGGGAGGCCCGAGGCTGTGGCAGCAGTGACCCGGTTTCTGATCCCACCTCTTGCCTCTGCCTCTGTCCCCAGGGGTGCTGCTGGGGTTGATGCAAGGGGTTTAGGGAGTAGGGGTCATTGACATGGGAGTAAGGGTCCTGGCTTTGGTGGTAAGGAAGAGGCTGGTAGGGGGGTGGGAAGTAAGGCGGCTGGAAATCCGAGGATGGGGTGTGAGAGAGCGGAGGAGCGCTGGAGTAGGGTCCCTGGGAGACGGATCCCAGCTGGGACAGCCTGGAACTGTGGCTGGGCACTCCATCATGCCGGTCCTACAAGCGGAATGAAATAAAAACAACAACAAAAAAAAGACCTTTTAGAAAAAATAAAGTAAAATAAAAGGAGCACAAGCTCCCCCCCCGAAGTAAGATAAAATTAAAAAGTAAACGGTCATAAACCAGGGTTCCAATGCGCCCCCCTCCCCCGCTGCAGATTAGAGATGTTCCAGCGTTTCGCACCCAGACCGTGGCTGTTCCCAGTAACTATCACGAAGGGGGAAGGGGGGGAGTGTGTGCGGGAGAAATGCTAAATGTCATAATTAAAAATGTAGGACTGGTGCTCTCATATGCGTGTATGATCTGTGACTTCAGTCCAGTAACACGATTCCCCCTCCAGCAGCCCCCCCCAATAAAACTAAAGGCTAAAAAATATTAATAATAATAATAAAAAAAAGAACCCCCAAATCACCCACGTCTCTAAACAACCCACCCCTTGTCCTGCCTAAAGTTTTCAAACATCTGTTTATTCCCTCTGCTGAAGTCCTGAAACTCAAAATCACCAACCCATCTTCACGTGGAAAAGACAAAAAGGAAAGTTACACTTCTCGGAGGACTCCGAGGTAAGAAGTTGTCCCAGAAAGGACTTGGAAAAAAAACCAAAACAAAACCAAAAACAAAAATCACGGGGGCTCTTTGTGTAAAGAGAATCCACCACTAAAAAAAAAATCAAAAATAAAAAAAAGTCAAGTCAAGTAAAAATGAAACATCGGTATTGAACAAATCCAGTCGCTATGATTTCTCCAGCAACTTCCAGTGTCTTTTGTCTCCTTTTCCAATATAATATTCCGGAGAATGGGGTGGGGGTTAGTTGTAATGAAAAGTCTTTGGGGTGTGGGGGGTGTAGGGGGGGTAAGTGTACGGAGGCTTCAGAGAAAAGGTGGGAGAGGAATTTTGTCCAACTCCATCGCGCTGAAGCTGCGAGGCTAAAGTAAACAAGAAAAATATCTATTCCACAAAGTGTAGCTCAAACCCCCACAAGCAATGGCACACATGGTTTAAAAAAAAGAAAGGGGGGGGGAAGTTGTTTTTTTTTTTCCCCCCTGCTCTCCCCCCCAAACTCCCCTAGCTCAAATCGAGAACACACAATGCAAAAAGGGAGAAGCAGCTGCAAGCCTCCTCCAATTATTGTGCTAAATTACCAAGCCAAAGGCGTTTAAAAAGAGAGAGAGGGAGAGAGAGAGACAACAGATCGAGAGAGAGAGAGAGAGAGAACATGCAATTCTAGTACAACATGGATCCAAACTCACCATGGCGGAATAGGTGTGGACTAACATCTGGAAATAAAAAAAGTCTTGTAATAGCTAAAAATAAAATAATGGTGATAATACTAATAATTGGAGGGAAAAATATCAAGGAGATCTGCAAAGGGACGTGTTGGACACAGGAGAACAGCTTGAGATATTTCGAAGTCTATCCATCAAAAAAAAAAAAAAAAAAGACAAAAAAAAAAAAAAAAGACCAAAAAAGGAAAAAAAAACCACACAACACCCAAAAAAAAAAGACCAATGCCCCCAAAACCGAGCCTGGAAACCTCTATCTACATATATGATTTACCCCTCCCTCTCAGTTTTTTTTTTTTCTTTTTTTTTCTCTTTTTTTTTTTTTCCTTTTGAGCTCCCAAATACAATCCTCTTCAACCCAAGGCTAGGCTCAGACTGCTCCGCTACCCCTTCCTCCCTTTCCTTCTCTACACCGCCTCATAATAATTGATATTCATGACTATTAATATTACACGACTACTTTAAAGGGAGAATGCAGGACCAAATGGAGCGTGAAGCTGGCAGCCAGCTCGAGAGCTCCCCTACTATTGTAAATGACGTTCATTCAGTGGAGAATTACTAGATGTAATCAGACGAGGGGGGCTGGCAGAGGCAGAGTTTGGGGAGAGGGAGAGGGGGGGAAAAAGTTTAGCAAGGAAGAGGCATAACTTCAATTAACTCGAGCGGAGGAAGATGAGGAAAGTAGACACTGCTGAGCTGGAGCAAGGAAGTGAGATGAAGCAATGCTAGAGGCGAAGAAGAAGAAAAAAAACATATTTCCTTTTTTTTTTTATACATTTAATTATACATTCCTAATAAGAGGAATTGATTGCCTTTGGTGCTTTTGTTCTTGTAGCTTTTGTTGTGTTTTGGGTTTTTTTAAGCAAATAATGAGGAAAAAGAGGCTTTTCTAAATTTTTTTTTTAAAGAAATGGAAGAAGAAACGTGCAGTTACTATAATACATGTGTCTTTACAGTGGAGATTGAGCCCTTTTGGTGCATGTTACAGATCGTATTTATTCGCAATAGTCAAATAAGTACTTGAATCTGCGTGAAGTTGGGCTCCACTTTTTTTTTTCTGAATCCTGTTCCTCCCACCCGATATGAAAAAAATAAATATATATATACATATATATCCTGATTTTCACCCAAATGTAAAATGTATGCAGTGAATTTTAAAGGATAGTAAATTTATAGTTTCGGGGCAAAGCCAGGGGCGATATAAAACCTTTTTGATGTTGCAGGAACCCGTTCAACTGGACTGTCTGCCATTTCTGTTAAAGTTCAACCTACGTTCCTTCCTAAATAGACTCACACTTCCCAGAGCAGCCCCCCCGCGCACACACACACACTTTTGTTTTAAGAACAGATTCAGTTTAAGTGGCTGAGACGCCCCTACCATCGTGTTGTTAATTATAAATCGGAAAGAAGAGAGAAAAACACTTTTTTTAAAAAAAGAAAATAAATCCAGAGGGCTTCAGCTCTTGAAAAAAAATCAACAATTTTTTTTTCCTTTTTTTCTTTTAAGACTATACGTTAGAAAATGACTTGGAGCGCACCCCCAAGTTAGGGTACACCCTGCCCGCAGCCAAATCCCACCCAACCGCTCCCCCAACTCCCACGGCAATCTAGGAACACGAGTGTCCGTAAAATGCAGAGCGGCTTTAAAATCCCTTTCCAAAGGAGGGTGGAATAAACCCCCCCAAGCCCCCGACATTGCCCGACCCCGCTGGCCAGGGAGGGGAGATATTTTGTCGCCTGCTGCTGCGGGCAGAGACAATGGCCGGGCTGTGCCTGGGGACGGAAAAGCAGCGAGGGCTCAGCGGGCTGGGGATGGCCGGCGGGACACACAGACAGACAGACACACACACGCCAGGCTGTGCTCATTCCGCGTATGCTGGAGTTTGCCGGTTGATAATTCGCCTGACGGCAGCTCTGGGGAGCGGAGACATTTCTCCCGTGCGGATACCCTCGCCGCTTCCCTCCATCCCGTCCTTTCTCCGGCCGTGAAATTGCGGAGCTGTGCCCTCCCTCGGCCTCTTTCTCCGCTTTTCCCGGAGTTTTCCCCGCTGTAAGTGGTAACGCGCTCCCGGAGGGGAGGGCTGCGGCGGCGCGACGGGGCCGGGGCCGGCGCGGCCCC